CCTGATCTACACCGACGTCGCACAGGTATACGTGTGCACGGACGTACCGACCGCGAAGGATACCCCGCGCTCTTTATCGCATCTCGCGCGGCCCCTTCTTACTACGCCAGGCTCTTTCTCTTTCTTTTCTTCAGGACACGTCGGTCTAGGTTCTATGGTCGGGCTTTGTCGATACATTCGCCGTTCTCTCGCTTCTCGCCGCGGCCTTCTCGCAGGCTGTTTCGCTCCGTCCGGTCTCCCCCTCGCGAGAACGCGGCCTCGTGGATACGCCCGTGCATAGGCGGCATCTCTGCGCCATCGCTCGACTGCCGAGGAAGCGCGGTTTCGCGCACAGACTACGGCGCTTACGATTCCTCGGGTTCGATTTAACGATTATCCGATAATTTTGAAGTTTTTCGAGCGTGCATCTTGAATAATTAGGGGTTCGTTAGAAATATTGGAGTCCTGGAAATAACGATTTTAAATTTATGTAATGTTTGAAAAGAAGATAGTTAGCGTGGTACGTTTGTGTATATCAAAGCTCGAAATGCATCGATATTCCACGTGACTTGTTAGAATTTGTTTTGTAAAAAAACAGTCATCAATGCTGGTTTGGATTATTTATGTAATTATTGTTTATATTATTTATATACATTATATTTATATTTTCAGCTCTAGTTTCCGGTAGAGAACCATCGTTACTTGTAGGACTACTTTACGTTAGTATGAAATTAATTTTAACTTATTAAATCGGGTATGGACGGATTTTGAAATTTGACAACAACATAAATGAACATTTTTAAAACAAATGTAAGAATGTTTTGTAGACTGCTTGAAAAAATATATAAAGTAAAGAATATATTACTCGTATTTTTATAATTTTTGCTTCGACTTATTATTTAAAATGGTGCTCCAAATAATTACAAATCACTAAAATGAATGAATAACGAATTTTGAAATTGATTCATCTCACATGATGTCCATATTTGTTAAACGTATCGCAAATTTGTCAAATACAGAACAAAGATATCAATCGTCAAAATGGAAAAAATTCAAACTCATCTGCATACTTACAGGATAAAATGCATATAATGGAAAGGCTCCCAGTTACTATGTATAGAGCCGAAATCGACGAAATCTGTTCGATACACATTGCAGCATATTTTATAGTCTGACCACTTTCTTTCTTTCATGTTGCTAAGTTAACGAACTTTCTAACAAACAAAATGCGTCACATTTTGCATGTAAAAAGAAGTGGCACCAATCTCAGACAATGATTTAAAAGTAAAATTTTTCGCATCCATTTAATAATGCGAATAATCACGATCCATTTCTTCTTCTATTCACACAATCGTGCAAAAGTACATTTGATCCACACATTCGATTGTTCGATCAACGCATTGCATAACCACGCCAAAAATTTATACGTTCTATTAGTAAATCCCCATCTTTTTTATTTGCCTTTCTTAATACGACTATTATTGCGATGTTAATCATCAGGTGTTCTCAAATACCGTGACGTCATTCTCGGTAATTCCCTCGACCGAATCGTCGTTAGAAAGAATACCACGAAAATCGATTCCAATCAATCGAAGTCACTCCCGATTCTTGTCGTATCATCGAAATATCCGCCAATAATACGGTATTTTCCAGCAACGAGACCGCGTTACTTAACCATTAGGTTCTGAACGTTAACGAGAGTCATGGAGCTTCGGTCGAGGGAGAGGTTAGGAGGTTCGAGCGCACGCCCCAGCCTCGAGATTGTCCTTTTTGAATTTCCTCGAGCACCGAGTAATGCCGTGTTACATAATTGAAAGCGTAGGAAGCAGATTGATTAACACACACGAGAAGAGAAAGGTTGCGTCCATATAGATTGGTGGTGGCTTTTATGCGAATCGTGCGAAGAGCGACTCTAGGAGACCACGTGGGTGTCATCACAAGCGCGCGAAATAAAAAATTCCCCATGCCACGGCAGAGATTATAGGCGCTGCACGGACGATGGGGATATACGAGCTGCCAGCGTCTCTCCAATATCACAGAAAAGAACGACAAACGACGAAAGACGAACGACGCGACAACGAGAAACGAGAATTATGATTTCCTCGATCGATGAACAAATCGTTGACTTCCATCTTCCTAGCGGAATCGACTATTCGATGAATCGAGTTAGGGATGGGCATTGAGCATTCGAATCTTAGTATCGAAACGATTCGATATTTTGCGAGACTGTCAAAATTTGGTAGGTTTCGATAACCTAAAACTCCGGAAAGCCTTGGAATTCTTGGAAGACTTGGAAGTTGTTCGTGTAAATGTATTTTCGATATCTTTTTAGATTCTCTTTAATATCGTGTATCGGGTCATCGCGTGTATCGACGATACTGTTTCAATTAAAGCATTCAATATGTTTGTAAAATATTGACTACACACCAAGCTACACACCAAGCTTCCGAGAAATATTATCAAAACAAACAAGACCTCCGAGATTTACAGGACTTATAAGAGTTACAAGATTTTCAGGTTTCCAAGACTTTCGGGAGTTTTAGGATATCGAATTCTACTCGAAGTGATTCGGAGTACTTGACAACCCATTAATAGATCGAGTCGTAAGTCGAGCGAACGATCGTACACGTTATTCCGTTATTAGGGACGATCACCTAGTAATTACACGCTTTGTATTCCTCCCGTTTCTTCGTTACGTTAACACAACGCAGCTGGCTCGCTTTAACGCTTCGTTAACGCTGAACGCTTCGTTACAGGGAACCGTATTCCACGAAAGTAAGGACGGACTGGTCGTGCGCGTTAATTATCGGGAAACATGAAACGCGACGACAGCATTGGCGAATTATAAGTCAATTAAATCACCGTACAAGTGACGAATGTTTAAACCTTTAACGTGATCGCAGGTTGAGTAGATCGTCGAACCAGTTCTTAGTAAAAGGAATATCTGTATAGATTTTCTGCTTGGCGGATTTTATTCTAACTCTTTCTTAAATCTGAGAACTAAAGAACCCACATTTTTCATCAGAAGTTTTTAACAAGGTATTACTGAATAAACTTATAAAACTTCAAGTAAGTACCTACAAGGTCAGGGAATTTATTTGCATACTATTTTATTTATAATAACATTTAAGTACTAATTAATAAAGCCCAAGTATATTACATTTCGTATCACTTAGAGGTACTTTTATGTGATTACACAAATGTAACACTGTGAAAATAAGATGCAGAATCTGATAAATGGACAATTATATAAAAAATAAGGAAATATTTTATATAGCCATTGTACATGATATAATGAGGCAAATAAGGAGGAATTCGTCTAGTTTCGAATCTAATTCGATTCTAAACGAATCAGAAATAATCAGCCAGGTAGGTATATCAAAGGTAACATCGAGAGAGAATCTCTTCGACGAGATTGTCGATCCGAAACCGCGTAACTGTTTTCTTATGCATATGGAATGAATGCACGTATGTGCTCGTCTAGCGTGATACGGAGTAGTGAACGTAAAACCGAGCGTATAAACTGAATATTTAAAAGATTCTACATTAAGCCGAAAAGTCAGAGACACGGAACGATTGTCTACACGAGTTCGTCGCGATTCAGTTCCTGTCTATGTGTATCGTTTACGATGGAACTGCTGGATCGATAATGTTGTCAGAAATGAAAAATCGTCGTCCATAATGCCGTATCGCCGTATTCACCTCAAGGCCAGCCTCTTTAAGACCTTTTAATTCATTCCGGACGGATATCGTGAGATCAGTCTGGACTGAATAAATTCATAGTATTCTGAAGATAAAGTACATTTGTAACACGGACGCACGGAAAATAATTAGAAAAGCTATACAATCGTTGTCTTTAAAAATTATTCAAGCCAGGGAAAACAGTTTGGATATTATGAAAAGAAATTGAGATAAAAGTTAAACAAAGTTACGTAATTAGAAACAAAATAAAATAAAGAAAGTGTGAAGAGGATGCATTATGTTGGATGACTTGAAAATATTGGAAAATTCTGCTTCGTATTACTTTATAATACTTCGACTGTGTCGAAACGAAGATCTTCCTTCGAGATATTATAATGACGTTAAAACGTTATAAATGAAGAACATATATTAATTTCAGCCAGGTCTAAAAACAAGACAGGTTCTTGAGGAAGTTCGCTATGCAATAATAAACCACGATTATAAGAATAGTATCTGATTTCTGATAAAAGCGAAAGAAAACAAAGGTAAAATAGAATATATATTTGAATTGACTAAATTAACGTAAACCTTGATTTACAAGATTCTCGGTCTTGATTATAACGTAAGTAGCGTGCTGGTAAATCAAAATTGATTGTCTTATCTGTAAAAAGCATCAGCACCAAGAAAACATATTCCAAGAAAACACGTATCTATGTAATTTATTGCGTATATATTAATACTAACAAACAAATCCACGTCAGGATAAACTGCACTCCCGATCTGACAAATCTAAACAATTTCTTTATCCAACAACTATTCGCACAATTTTTCAAGTTCCTTTTCTACCAATTCCTCTGAGAATAAAATTCTCCATTCAATGGAGTAACAATAGACATGGCCGAACCAAAGCCAGGTTCGTCTAATAATAGAACATCTTTAATCCCTTTTCGATGACTGTAAACTGCAGTGAAAGGGAATCTACGCGGCTCTGTCGTTTGTAATATCCGCGCGTAGCATCGCGAGTCCCGTCGAGTAATTAAAAAAGCCACGCGCTAAGCGGGTCATCGCGTATGGACGAAACGCAACAATAAACGGAAGAAGAACGACATTCAAAGAACCGTAAAGTGAACCAAGAAAAACAGCACGCTCCGCCGGCCTTCGTTCACCTGCTTGTACGCGGCCACGAAACACGCGGTATAAGTGCATTGTGCTCGTTAATGCGTTAGGAAGCGGGTAATGCCTGTCTATGGATATAAATATTTATATAGCACAGGCGGACCGTGATAAAAATGAAGCGACAGTAGGCCCGCTACCAGCGCAGATCCCGCGAAAATGAGCATCCTGGAAAAAACGATTACTCACGTCGGCCGCGCGGAGAAAATTCTTATCGATGAAAATTAACATACCGCGAGCCAGTGATTTATTACACGAGAAATGACAAGTCAATTCCGTTTCTTCTTCATTCTCTCCAAGTACCGACGATAATGCCTCAAGACGAAATTATCAACGCGTGGATGAAACTCGCCTATGTATCGCCTATGAGTCTTCGTGAAAATGACGATTGTTCGGTGTACAGGAATTAGAATCTTGCGTAATGCGGAGGAACTGTCTTGAAGAAATGAAATGGAATGTTCACGTTGAAGATACGTCGTGGAATGATACGTCGGAAGAAAATACAACAGATTATTAAAAACACCATCGACATCCAAAGATTACAAATATGTCATCTAGTCGTGGTTTAAAATCTTAAGAGGTATTTATCGTTACTAAGGAATCTGGTTTTTCCTATTGGATGGAAATATAATTTCATTTTGTTGATACCGGCGGTAAGAGGAAATTGCTCAGTATGATTCGTATAATTGATCATGCAGATGAGAGTAATTAAAGGATATTATTGATGACTCACTGAAAGCCTGTAAATTCTACGTCATTAATTTCAACTATTCATTACTAGCTAATTATGTCTCCTATTTACGAGTTTAGAATCCAGAAAGTCACTTTGTTCGACCAATTATTTTCCACAAATACGCGAATCTAATTTATTAACTTAGAATATTCTCAAGTTGAACACAACATAAGTAAAACTGTTTCATGGACACAATATATACAAACACATCATTTCCTAACTAACTCCTCGAATATTATAAGAAGACTGCAAGTATTTATGCAAATTGATATTTCTATAAACACAAATAAAGAAATGGAGCCGATATACAGACTTGTCCCACCTACTAAATATTATGACTTCTAGCTTTCTTTGGATATGTTACATACTTTTTCATATCACGTGGATTTTCTATATTTTTGTGACTCTAAATTTTCCATAAATGCGTAGAAATTCACGGTCTCGTCGTAAAGGATCAAACTACCAGAAACATGGAAACGCTTAAGTGCGTCCTCTAGCAGAGTTTCAAACCGATTCAAAATAAAACGATTCTTTAATCAATAGAGAGATTCAATCCATATATCTGAATCCCTCCATAAAGCTCATTCTTCGAACAAAAGCCTGAACTTTCAATACCGAACGCAGTTTCATTCACTCGATTCAAAGCAAATGCTCGACTGCCGGCGTGGTAACATTTACATTCAACATTATCGCCTCTATTTCTCGAGCAGCATTGATGTCTCCCCGTTTCTCTCTGTCCAACCAACGGGTATCTCTCACAAACAATTTCAAGAGTGGCTGGTTGGCCGGCCGGGTGACTCGCCGGCGTTTCCACTTCTGCGTAATCGGGGTGATGTCGAGGGGATTTAGGAAAGCCACGGTAGCCGGCGTGTACGCGGCGCAACCGGCAAGGACAAGAGAGCCGATCCGGCCGGTGATGCACGGGCTAAGCATCTCTGGAGGTGTGCGTAAGCGTACACTGGCGTGTGTGCGCGGGTGTGCGATCGGTCGGTGCGGCGCGAGGCGGACAGAGAAACGCGAACAAGGACGGCGGAGGAGACGGCGGAGGTGGAGAAGGAAGAGGTGGAGAAAGAGGAGACGGCAAAGGATATAAGGTGCGCGAGGAAAGGTTGAAAATCTCTACGATAGAACTGCTGGATCCATTGGTAAAACTGCAAAGAGCAAGGAAGGATGAAAAAAGAAAGAAAAAGAGGAGAAAGAGAAAGAAAGAGGGGAACACGGTGAGCATGAAATAGGGTATAGAAGGTGAAGCGGATTAAAAGGATGGGAGGGATGCGAGAGGCCGAGGGAAAAACGCGTGGAAAAAAGATGGAAGCTCGTTTCGTTTCGTTAGAGAAAGAAAGATTGGTGATGGGGGAGCGGGAGAGGCAGCGAGAGAGAGTAGCGAGAGGAGCGTCAAGCCGGCGAGAGAGGGATATGGTACAGCGAGTGGCGTGCATTCTCGCGCACACGCTGCCTCCCCTCTTAAGCGTGAACGTTCGCGTGCACGTGCAACATGGTATCGTGCACGTGTGCGTGTACAAAGTAGGTCCACGAGAGCCGGAGAGACGGCGAATGAATATCGCCGTCCCCTCGGCGGCCGGTGCGACCAATCCGCGCGTAGCGCGAGCTGCGTGAAGGCGGAACGCGGCCTCTTCGCGTATATCTGCGTATTTATTATTCAGTTTGCAAATACGTGGCAAAAATGATCTCTCTCCGCGCGCCGGCTGGATCCGACCGGCTCCACC